AACAGCATGCCAAGTCAGAGTCGCAGCTCTGTGCAGCGGACCCACTCGCTTCCTGTCCACACGTCTCCACAAACCATGCTCATGTTCCAGCAGCAAGGTGGCGCACATTAGCCAGTTCATTTTTGAACCTTGCAGACAGACATTGCATATTTAAAGGTGTATCTCAATTGGACATAAGAGAACAATTGAAGAACACTATTACTTCTTCTACTGCTTAGACAATGTACAAAGCAGACTACTTTCACTCATACAACTCAGTATCATGTAACACAATCTGTATATTTTGATTTACTATACTAAGCCGCATTTTAAAAAAAATCTCTTAATACTATTTTAGTAGTAGTACTGTATTATTCTTAAGTATGCTTTGGTTTAGTTTTTTTCTTGTTTTTTTTTTCCCATTTGTGTCTTGTTTTTTTTTTCCCATTTGTGTGAGTATGCACGCCCCCACTTACTTTAACTTGCTGCTGACACCTGGATGTCAACTATTTTCTTTGCCAACAATTTACCTATTTTTCATTAGTTGATAAAGTGGAATTATTTTCTGTCTCACAGCATGCTTTAATCCTGATTTTGTAAAATAATAATAATAAAAAAAACCCACATTCATCTTCTTTCTACATGTAAGAAAAACATATCGGACATTTAAAAAAATTAGCGTGAAAAAAGCAACAAAAAGCAAATGATCTTAATGTTAATTTTTTCCCCGTTTTCTTAAGAATGCCAAGTTCCAGGTTCTGACCTGGAGATCAACCCCACGCTGGAGTCACTGTGCCTCAGTATGACGGAGCATGCCTTAGGGGGTAAGTGTCCTCACCACACATCCTGAAACCTTACATGTTTGTTCACTCAAAGAACACCAACTCGTGGTGTGCTTGATAGGAAATTATGAGAAACGGCCGTGCAGCCAGAAGAAAAATACTAATCCCTGTTTGCGTTTCCTTTGCAAATTGGCGCAAAACTTTGTCAACATTCTAATGGCCGAAGAACAAAATTTTGCATAATTAAAATTACAAGTCATTAAAAAAAACACACCGGGCCGTCATCCTCCAGCTACTTCCTGCCATCGTCTTCTTGTTTGTTTGTGTCAGTGGCAGCATCTGATTGCTTATCACGTGACTCGTAATGCAAAAAAGTGTTTCATTGCAGTATTGTGAAATGAACCACTTTTGATACAGACAAAAAGAAAAAAGATCACTCTAGTGGCAAAACGTTTTATCAAAGAAAACTACGTATCTTTCTATGCGTCCTCAATGAAGCTGATGATGTTGTTGATGATGATGATGATGATGACAGCTTTTTTTAAATTAGCTTGTGAACTTTACGCAGATTTATTCTCGAAATGTCAAATTGCTCAGTATGGTCAACAGAAACTCAGCAAGTGAGGGCAACCAGAGAAAAAGGCTTCAACTTGTAAGGGAAGTATAATGTTACAGATGAATATAGAATTATTTCAGCTGATTGTGTCACTTCCTGTATTTTGCTATGTATATCTGCACCCTAATAGGGAATGAACTGTTTAAAACTAAAAAAAAAAGGATTAAATAGATGGTACTGTTTAAAAAAGAAAAGAAAAACTAAAATGGCATCCTAAAGGTGGCATATTTCATATCCACTGTCTTGAATACAAAAACTGTGACTGCAATGCATTCATTAATGTCAGGATTTGTGGAATGTTAAGATTACAATGGAAAACTAAAAAAGAAAATGATTTTTTAATACATACCACCACCTTCTGGACAAGAGATGCAATTTCACCCCCCTGAACAATTTCAACATCATCAGGGTTTCCCTGCCTGCCACTATTAAGACTAATATGTATACAGTCAGTGCAGGCTGTTACCTAATTGTGTCTCATCTTCTTCTCAGATGGAACTGATCGGACATCAACAATATGAAGAGGAAAGAAAAGACACTTCATTTGAGGCCTGCTCGGTTCAGCACAAAGACAGACATGATGCTTCAAAAAAGACAAGGAAAACAAATTACAAACCCAGGCAACGCAGTCACTACAATATGACAAAAAAACTGTGTATATGTTCTTTAATATTTTTGTACTTTATTATATACAACTAAGTTTATTAAAAATGGAATACAGATGATTATTATATTGTGGAACAGAGAAACGGTGAACTGTGTCGGCTGTGCCATGTCACCTGCAGCAGGACTGTGACATGGTCGTGCAGCGGTTCAGTTTACCACAATGCGGAGAAAAAGAAAACAAAAAAAAAAAAAAAAAACGAGCAGTGGACCGGTGCTGTCTTTAGGGGTTCTGCCCTGAATTTGCTCTTCTTCTCTTACTGCCTTGGAACAAGGTTTTCTATCCACAACACACTGACAGCCCCTTCACCCGTGTTCTAGATTCGACAAAAATAATAATAATAGTAATAAATTTCCAGCCACAAGTGAGGCACTTTTATTAACTTATCTTTGATATTGGGCACTAACTGTAATTGGTCATCATGGTACACTCTCTGAGGTTTCACCTGGAGATTGGTGTTAACCTTCTAATCCTATAGGCAGCTCTAGTCAGGGCTTTAAAATTAGGCTGTTTCCTTTTTTTTTCCTTTTTTTTTATGTCCTCGTTGGAGATTTCGTTGCACAAACGGAAACCAGAGGACCAAACAGGAGTGACAAATAGTTCGTATTTCAACTTTAGGACATCTCTTTTTGTTTTGCTTTAACATATAAATTAAAAAAAAAAAAAGCAACTGTCCTCCTCTAAGCTTCTACAAAGCCAAAGACCAGGGTTGTGTGTTTGTCGATTTGTGAAAGATATTTGTAGTGAGTTGCAGCAGAAACAATTAAACGGAAAAAAAAAAAAAAAATAGCAGAGTGAAAAATTATTGCCAGCTGCAACTTGTCTTTTATTTTAACGTCCTATGTCATAAATGATGATGAATCTCATTTTGTGCCAGGGAAAACCCGACAAGGGGTGAAGGGGCGGCTTAGAAAGAGCTGGCTAAGTTTATACCGTGCAGGTATAAAAGCGAAGAGGTCAGAGCGTTTTCAATTTACAATCCAGCGAACGCTAAACGCAAAAGGTTCTCTTGTGGGGAACTTTGCGATTGGCTTTCCGAAAACGTTTAAGAAACGCTCGCAGTGCCCTCGTCCTTTAAAAACGGCCAACGTGACGATTTGATGAATCATTCATTCTTTTTTTTTTTCTTTTTATTTTGAGGTGCTTGACGATGTCCCTGTTTGTTTGTTTTTTCCGTTTGTCTGTGTTTCAAGTCTCAGAGCTCCCTACGTTATCATCTGTTATCAGTGTTGAATCAAAAATTTCTCTTTTTTTTCCCCCCCAGCCTGTCTTTGAATGTGACAGAGCCGGAGGTGCATGTTTGTGTGATAATGGACTTTTTGGATCACTTTTTGGTTGCTTCATAAGGCAGGGAAAAGAGAGAGTGAGAGAAAAAAGACATTCTTATATTATTTCAACAGAGCCATAGGAGGTCTGTCTAGTAAAGATGGTTATTTACAGATATCTTTTTTTCCAATTGTATTTTTTACTCTTCCCTTGATATTGATGACTTGTGCTTCTTTTCTATAATCGCATGTTTTGCCACACTAATGCAGCACTGTTGTAGATAAGAGGACATGATGGCTGACGGTGCCAGGTGTCGCCAACAGCTAGAGACATCTTGCAACAGATGTTGTGTTCATATCGCCTAAATGTCACTGTTTACATCTTTCTGGGATTATCCCCCGATTCATAATATTTGATGTCATGAGTAATCTATTGTCTCGCTATGTAACGCATAAAAGAACTGAAGCCTTCTCGATTTCGAGATGGCTGGGTGGAGTCTAAAAAAAACAAAAAAAAAAAAAAAACAGTCCTCTGTCTGCAAATCTGTGGACTTCCAAATAGCACTCAGTTTTTTCCCCCCCTGTTTATACAAAGTCTGGATGATGCGGTGAGGAGAAAGAACAGCTTTCTCTAGCCGTGCGATTTCAAACTGTTAGCTGTCCATGTCCTGATAAAACTGTTCATCTGGTGCCTAAAATGGAAAGACTCGAACCATTTATTTTAGAAGTGGCCGCATTCTAGTCATGGATTTCTTCAGAGCAGGCTCTCGGATTGATCTGACATATTAAAAAAAAAGAAAAAAGCATTGCACCCACAGTCTGAACTCCAGTTTGTGGGGTAAATGTGGACTTTCTGACACGCAATTGACTTTTTCTTTTAACTGTCCACCACGTTCATCAGCTGTGTTGTTACAAATGGCTCAGATTATCCTTTTCATAGCCTCTGTTGCTTTCAACGGCCTATTTATTACATTTAATGGACACAGAGGTACAATACAGATTTCTGCAAGTGTGTGTTTATGATTCTGATGCAGCAGGGGATGACGATGCTTATCTGAGCCAAAAATAAAAATGATGCGCTGAGTCAACTGAAACACTATCAACGGGCCAAGGAATACGTTTACTCCATGTTTACATTCCAGCGATCCAAGAAATGAGTTGGGGGTGGGGGAGGGAGAAATGCATTTCCTGAGTTCAGCCTGGTATTAGGAATCCAGTAGAAGAGATGCAGAGCTTGTCATATGGAGACATCTACCAAGTGTTGCCCAGGGTTTATGATAGTTCAATTTTGCAGCCAGCTGTAGGTCAGACTGCGCGCGTGTTTATCGTGTACAATTTATATTTAATTATAAATAACTTTTCCCCTGACATTTTCTAATATTTTGTGAACCTTTTGCATCACATGCTTTATTCTACTTTTTTACTGTCACTGTTGTGTGTGAATGGTCTGAAGTACAACATCCGTCGGATCATGACAGTCCAAATAAAGAGGTTCAGTTCTTTTGCAAACTGAAGCTGTGTTTTGTTGTTTTTTTTGTGTGTGTGTGTCCACTCTTGGATTGACTTTTGTACGTTTGAGAATTTCATTCGTATGAAAATGTCCTGTTTGCTTTTATTTTATAAATTTGCCACAGTTTCGTGTGGCTTTCACTTCCGAGTCATAGGTAGTTCCCCCTTCCCTCCCCTCCCCGCTCCCCCGTCTTCTGTTCGTCAAGCTAACAGCTAGCTTCCTTGTTAACGTCCTTACTTTATCAAGGGAAAAGCCACGTAGTTGACATGGAAACTGCATTGCAATTGCTCGTGGTAGGTTTCAGTTTTGTGTATTGGCAACAAAAGTTGAGTTTTACGAGTTGTTTCACCATTAAAACTAAGTCGTTGCTTTCCGGGAGTTAGGAGTAGCCAAGTTAGCAGAAAGCTAGTGGCAAAGCTAACTTAGCTTGTACCCAATGAAAACAGCTGACTTAGCTTAGCTTAGATGCTAACTTAGCAGTTGCTGTTAACATTTTTCAAGTATTTCTAAAGCATGAGTCATCAGTAAACATGCGAGAAACAAAACTAAAGATCCCCCAACATTAAGCGAGAGTTAATATTAGTAATATGTATAAAGTTGATGCACGTCCGAGTCTTTCTCGAAATCCCAGTAACTTAGTCTGATTTAAGGAGACAGAACCTGGTGTTTTAAGTACGAGAAAGTAAGTTAACATTACAGTGTTTGGCTTTAAACGGAAAATAAAATGAGGAGTGTCTTCATCGGGATGTTTTTATACCACGCAGCCTTCTTCAGAATATGAAGTTGTTATAATAATGTTGAGTCGTTTGAGCAACTTCAAAAATTTTTTGAATGAAAGTCGAAAACTTGGGGTTAAATCTTAGCAGTTTAAGTCAAAAACTGTTGAGCTCGTTTTAAATATAGGCGGATAGATGGACTCACCTTAAATTGAATGAATATGCATATTTCTATCACTTTTTAATTCAACCAAAATTATATAATAAACACTATGTGTATCACCAAAACTATTCCGAGTCGAATACTTTTGCATCATTCACGCTGTGCATCGTAATCTGGATTCGATGGATAATGTTTCAACGCAATAACTAAGGTTTTTTTTCCTGGTTCCAGCGCCTAAAATTTTCTGGTATTTGTCTGAAAATCTTGAGTGAAAACAGTTTTGAGTCAAAAAACTATTTAGGTTGTTGAGATTGCATCAGTTTTTTGTGTTGTGATGTAAAGCACTTTGAAATGCCTTGCTGCTGAAATGTGCTATACAAATAAAATTTGACTGATTGATTGATCAGTGCATATAGCAAGCCTTTTAGTGATCCACGCCACTGAGCAAGGCAGTGAATTAGATAAACAAAATAACAACCATGTTCGAAGTGTGTGGCCAGAATAAAATATCAGAATACTTCAAATAAAAATCCGGAAGGAAATTAGAAAACAGGCCGTCATTGGGTCTTTGCACATTAACATCCAATGCATCAAGGTAGAAATGATTTACCAGACACGAAATCAACTTTCTTCCATCTCAGGCTTTGGTCCTCAATCTGTGACAGAGGTTAGCTGAAGACAATAGAGGATAGGAGGAGCAAGGACTCAAGGCTGCAGCCTTGTGAAAGCATCGTCTTTTTGGTGGTCATAAATATATATTTTTCCCAATAAATTGTGTTAAATTGAAAAGACTATTTTTTTTTACATTTCTCGTACGAGACTGTTGGACTGCAATATTTTAAGACTTTTTACATACGGTCAGCATGGGTCAAATTTGTTTGTGCCTGTGTGGCATAAATTTTTTCTCGTGAGTTGTAAATTATACTTTCATTTTTGTTTTTGCAGGTTGTTCAACACCTTGCTGGCTACTGTACTTGGACATTGATAGACATCTGAAACTAGTGATGTGGATGAAAAACGTGCCTAAAGATAACTGCATATCCAGCTTGTCCTATGGCGACTTTCTAGAGTGGTACAACTGTGACTCCTCCACATAATCTATCATGTCATTACCGAATGAGTCGGGAAACAGAGGGAAGGAGCGAGAGAGGGGAGCCCGCCCAAAAGTGAGACAGAGCCGGTCGGAGGAGAGAAGAGACTCTGGGGGTGGTCGGAAAGGCGGGAAGGGGAAGAAAAAAGGCCTCTCCACGCACGACGCTGCTGCCGAGCGACCCGTCAGTGACGGGTTTGAATATGGCGAACTGTTGAACGATCTGGAGGCCAGGAGCCAAACCTCCTCTTCCACCTCCCCGCTGAAGGAAACCTGGAAATGGCAAGACTCGGACGTGGCGGGGTCCACTCTGGGGCAAGGCGTCACCGCCAAGCAAGGTCAGGGCACCGTTTGCTCTGCCGCAGAATTACCTCCCCTGGGCGAGGCAGAGGGCCGAAGCTCAAGCAGCAGCCGCACTCTCAGGCAAAAAATCCAAGACGCAATGGGCCAGTGTTTCCCGATAAAGACCCACAGTGCTGCAGCGGCACCTCCTCCACCCCCGCAGGCCTTCTCATCATCAGCTGCCTGCGCCTCCTCCAGGCGGAAGATCCATCTCAGCGAACTGATGTTGGACGACTGCCCGTTCCCCGTAGGGTCAGAGCTGGCTCAGAAGTGGTATCTCATTAAGCAGCACACAGCCCCCATCACCCAGGCTCCCCTGTTGGATCCCGCAGTGGTGGTGTGCAGCGCCCCGACTTCGGCGACGACCGCCGTGGAGGATGTGGACGACAAGCTGCGAGAGCGCAGGCGCATTAGCATCGAGCAAGGCGTGGAGCCGCCGCCCAACGCCGAGATCCACACTTTCGAGGTGACGGCTCAGATCAACCCGCTGTACAAGCACGGCCCCAAGCTGGCTCACGGCATGAATGAGCTGGCCGGCACCGAGGGCGCCTCCGCTCACCAGCAGCAACAGCTGCTTCTCCAAAGGCAGCAGCAACACCAGCTCCTGCTGCAGAGCTGCTTGGACACGCTCGACGAAGTGGCAGCCTCAGCGTCCGCTTCCCTCCACGCCTCGGATGCCGCCTCCGATCCGCCGGTCGACACGGAGGCAGCGGTGGCGGTGAGCAATTCGAGCTCGAGAGCCGCCGCACTCTCTCTAACCGAGCACCAGACGCCCCACGAAGGCTACCGCTTCCACACCCAGATCGACTACATTCACTGTTTGGTGCCGGACCTTCTACAGATCACCAACCTCCCGTGCTACTGGGGAGTCATGGACCGCTACGAGGCAGAGACGCTGCTGGAAGGGAAACCCGAAGGCACCTTCCTGCTGCGCGACTCCGCCCAGGAAGACTACCTGTTCTCTGTCAGCTTCCGGCGCTACGGCCGCTCGCTGCACGCGCGCATCGAGCAGTGGAACCACAACTTCAGCTTCGACGTCCACGACCCCAGCGTCTTCCACGCGCCCACGGTCACGGGCCTGCTGGAGCACTACAAGGACCCCAACTCCTGCATGTTCTTTGAGCCCCTCCTCTCCAACCCCATCCACCGCGCACACCCGTTCAGCCTGCAGCACATCTGCAGGGCGGTGATAAGCAGCCGCACCACGTACGACGGCATCAACGTCCTCCCCATTCCGAACGCGCTGAAAAAACACTTGAAGGAATACCACTACAAGCAGAAAGTGCGAGTACGGCGGATGGACACGTGGTGGGAATGAAGAAGAATAGAAACTGGACTCAACCAAATATTTAAAAGTATTTAGCTGTATCAACTCACACAACACTGTATTTATTTATTTTATTCCTGCTGAATCTCATAGCAATTGTACTAAACCACACTGACGAGGCATCGTGTAATCTCACTGATCTTGCACATCCAGAGCGATGCTAAGCTGAAATTAAACAAACAAGTTTCAGACTCCTGCTGCTTCGAGGACTGCATCTCATCTGTGTCTTCAAGTGTGACTAAATCATCTTAATTAACTGATGATGAGGGTATGAATCAAGATGATTATAATGGAACTGCTCATCGATCACACACTGAGCAGCTGAAACGCGTCCTTACGGGGATCGTCACTGAGGTGCTGCAAGTTTTACACCGCAGTGCAGAAGAAGTCTTTGTACTTGAGCTTTTTTTTTTTCTTCTTCACATTTTGTCACGTCACAAACCACAGATTCCACTTTTGTTCTTAAATTTGGACCAACATAAAGTAATGGATTATTTTAGTATTAATATTGACCTTCATTTCACCAGGTAAAGCCCATTGAGATTAAGAGTGTTTCCTCGTTTTGGTCCAATGGGGACCAAAACCGCAGCATTTGTTCCGTTTTCAGCTGGTGCAGTTCGCTCTCACATCGCACTGTCAAACCAACCGGACCGTTTGAAAACCCTGCATCGAGAACCACTGAAGGAAACAACACAAAACCTCCGGAGAAGATATGAGCGCAACTTCCTCCTTCTTGTAAACAAAATGGAACAGCATCAGATTTTAGCAGCTGTAGGATTTCCCGTCTGTCCCCGGCAAGAGACCACGAGCCATTTTCCCACTAGCGTTAGTCTCGGGTGTTTAGTTTAGTAGTACTTACCCAGAATGCCCTGCTCTTATAGCAAGAATAAATTAGTGAAAAGATTAATTAAAGCGTTTATGGACAGATGAATCCTTCTCAAAATTAGTGGGAGCAGCCTTAACACATTTACTGAAAACAGGATCTTTAACTTCACGGTTTTCTGTTTTTTTCCTAACTGGTTCCTAGAAGATGAAGCAGGAAACAGAAAATCCTTCTTTCCAACCGGACCTTAGGCACCGAAAGTAAAAAAAAAAAAACAAACAAAAAAACAAACTGCACCTTATCAGTGATTGATGTAATTAAACTGCATGTAAATCCAGCTGTTCTGTGAAGACCTCAGGTAATTGTTAGGGAATATTGCTGCAAAGCTGCACCATAAAAACCAAGAATCTCACCTCTCCGGATTCTGAAAAGAAACGGCACAAATTTTCAGTCTGTCGTTGTGGAAAGCTGGTAGAAATGTGGCTGCACCTGTTCTTTCAGAAGCTGCCTCTACAAGCCCTAAAACAGTGAGTAGAATACAAATGCGCGACTCAGAGTTTTATTTGTGTGACGAAATATGAAAAAGCTTTCAGCAGCAGTGTGTTTTGTGTTTTGTAATTCTACGCCATGAAACCAATCGTCACGTTTGAGTTTTAGGTCAGTATGCTACCCTCCTTAAAGGTTTGTGTGCTATACTGAAGCAGCCCTGTGCTCCGTCATCAGTATCCTGCAGCAGAGTACAGGACTACAATTACAGGTGAACATAAACCCAGACTCCTGACTAACACTGAACTGCTGCGCAGTGAGGCATTTAACTGGAATTTGGACAAAACTATTTTCCCCAAACTTCATTCCTGCTCTCATTGTTGACAAAAATAACTAAATTTCTAAAAAAAAAAAAAACCTGCCACTTCTTTTGGTCTTCATAATTTCAAATGTGGGCTTTGAATCTGAAGTAGATGGTTAATAAAATGTTTTTTTTTTGTTAGGTTTTTTTTTTCAAATTTGTTAAAAAATACCACTTTGTTGAGAGAATATAATATGAGAGATGATTATGGAAAAAAAAGCTCCTCTGGCTTCTTGTCGTCTTATGACCATCTGCCGATATGCAGCCAGGCGGAGGGTCTTAGCGTAGCAGAACCTGCCGTGAAAGCTAAGGCCAGTTAGCATGCTACCAGTGGCAGCAGATAAAGAGTTTCCCTGAAATGGTAAAATGTTTCTCGGCCATTCACACATATATCTAGCGCCACATGGACAGACATGATTGACAGCCAGAAGACCCTCCTCCTGGCTCTGATTGGTTGTTTCTGACCAGTGTATTTCTTCAGATGGCAGTTAGACCACAAAGAGGAGGTACAGGAACTTATCTTTTTTACAGATTATCTGTCTCATGTTATACTGATGCAACAAAATGACAGTTTTAACAAATATGTAATATATATTATTTTTATGTTTTTTGTGGAAGTTATAAAACTTGTTGGATATATGGAGATTTTACAAGCTAGTTCTTAATTTGAGGAACGAAAGTTTAGTAAATAAATAGGTGATTAAATATTTATGGATGTGACCTAAATAAAATGGAAAATACTCTTAAGAATTACATTTTATATCTTTAAGTTGTTCATTAAAAAAAAAGTTAAAGCAATAATTTATTGCATTCATGATGTTAAATCTGCTTCATCAGTTTCAGCCGTCAGAAATAACCAATCAAGCTTTGAGTGAAAGCATGCCAGAGCCAAAACGCAACAACTTACTGTATGCTGATAAAATGCATATTCAACTTTTCTAAGTTATTGAGTTAATTAAGCTATTTTTTAAAACATTTTGTCTTGGCTGTTTATATATATATATATATATATATATATATATATATATAATATATATATATATATATATATATATATATATATATATATATATATATATATATATAATATATATATATATATATATATATATAATATTCTTAAAATGCCTTAAACTTAAGCGGTTGGAAGGTGAATGTCAGTGTGCTTGGTTAAATATGGTACTAGTGTAATGTCCTTTGTGTGATTCATATGTTTAGAGAAGAATAATATAAATTTGTTCTATTTACCTTAACCCCAGACTTGTTTTTGCCTACCACCTTCGCCCAGGAGTTCAGCATTTCAGCGTTTTAGTCGCAACTTTCTGAATCCCAAACTGAAGAACCGCAGGTGCGCTCATCATCAAACACCTCTGAAGGTTTTATGTATAGACGACCTATCACCTTTTCTAGAACAGGTGATAAAGACGAACCCCATGATCTCACAGCTCCAAAAACAGCTAGGTGGTAATTTCTTAGTGTTGCTTTATTTTTTTGTCTTCCAATCTGCTCACCGTCGAGTTTCTTAGGTTGCACTTCCTGATTCCAATACTTTATCGAATTGTTTCTACTCAGTGAGATAGAAAGTGCAATATAATGCCCAAATAAGGCAAAGTCAACTACCAAATGAAAATTATGTAAAACTGGAAGACATTTTTTGACCTCTGCTGTATTAACACTTTGTCTCCAAATATAGTTCTCTGTAAAATTCAGCTTTAATCTGCACATCTGCAGTATTGTACAAGAATTTATGTAGTGCTTACAATTTTAACATTTTGTCATTTTGCTGTGACAGACCAGCCCAAAGCAGTGAGGTAATATGATGTTGAACTCTGCAAAAACACAACATTTTACCAAGCGGCTTTGGTCTAGTTTTTCTAGTGCAAATATCTTAACTAACTTACAAATGGCTTTTCAGCAAGTATAGGAGTTTGCTTTAAATCAATAACTCTGAAATATCAATGAAAAAGTATCATTTTCACTTACAGCCTCGGAAATAGGCCTTATTATAAGCGAAATAATCAGCCAGTGCAGCCAGGCCTTTATTTTATTCAATATTAAGGAGTTATTAACTTAAAACCAGCTCTTGTTTCCTCCTGAAAAGTTACTTGTAAATTAATTTTGTCCTATTTCAAGTGTATTGAGACATTTGCACTCGAAACTAGACCAAAATAATTGGTAAGATTTGAGGTTTTTGCAACTCAAAATGAGATTTAAATGATTAAAAATTGTACTTAATCAAAATTGTCAAAGTAGGTGTTTTTGTATCCTGTCCCCTTTAGTCTAATTCCCCCAAACAAAAACTAGTGCAAACCACTGCCATGATCTAATGCGCCAGATGCAATAAATACAGTTCAGGCTGCTGTGAAAGCAGGTTTTGTTGGAGAACATGAGGGAAGAAACAGCAGAAAAGCAGGATTAGATTGCAATACAATGTCCTAAGCTTCAGGAATCTCACAAAGTGACATTCCATCCATTGTCCGGAAATGGAAACAGCAGATTTGCAAACTCCCTCCGAGAGATGGCGGCACACCTCAGCTGACAAGTTCTGTCTGCTGTTTGTTGACAGTCATACAGGGGAACAAACGAATCCTGTTAAAAGAAGCAAATCTGGTCAAAAGACCACCGCCTCCCACACAAAACATTGTGTGGGAGGCGTCATGCTGTGGGAATGTTCATGTGGTGAAGGACAGAAAGCCCAGACATGAAGCTATTCTGTAATGAACCGTTTCAAACAACGTCGAGGTTTTTGAATGACTCAAAGTACAAAATTAAATACAGTTTGTGTCCGTGCGTAGAAATCCACAGACGCTTTCCGTCCAGTCGAGCTGGGATTTGAACCGTTTTAGAAAGAATATGCAAAAAAAGAAAAAAAACAAGTGCACAAATTTCCTACCTCCAAATTATGTGCAAAGATTTGTTGCCATTTTTTCTGTTTTTAGCATTTGGTATAAAGATAAACATGGAAGAGGATGGCTATTCTTTTTTTTCTGTGGGATGAAAAATGCCCTAAAAAAATAAATAAAAGAGAGTGAAAAATAAAGCAGATCTTAAAATAGATATTGGTACATTTAGTGTCATTCTCTGTAAAAAAATTTGTGCAAAAATCTTGTACTTTATTAGGAACCACTGGAGAAGCTCCAAATAGGTTGTAAACTCCTGGTATATCCTTTCAAATTTTAACAAACTACAACAGAGGTTTTAGTTGCATTGTGACATTTAACAACTCCCTATATTGCATTCAATAATTGAAAGATTTTTTTGTTTTAAATGGGCCTCCAAATTAAATCTTCATGCTGGTACAGATGTTCAGTTTCCCCCCCCCAAATGTTTTTCACACAATTCTTCGATTTGTTTACATTTCTCGTAAGAAAAAAACCTCTTGAGGTCACCGTCGGCATAAAGAGCTTCCGCATCCGGTTGCCACTGGCCATACGAGCACATTTGAAGTGTGACGTGTCAGAAATCACGCTTAAATGTCTTGAATTCCACGTCGGGCCGCTTCTTGTTGCATCCGCAGGGCGTCTGCGGGCT